ATAGTTCGTTTGTATATAGCACATGACCTTCTGCATCTGCTTGCTAGCTCAGTTGGGATCTGCTAACTATGTATTTTCAGCAGATATTACAGGGCTTCATAATCTCATGGAATATTAGGATTTAGGTTCCCAAAACCTGGGTTTTTTTCCCCAGAATCTGCTGTGTTCTTCAGACTTTCAAAGATAAATAATGTGAAAAATTAGTTTTCTGTCAGATTGACTGAGGCAAGCATGAAGTCCTTTGTCTCAGCAGGAAGGTGGCTTTCAAACCTAATCACAGACACTTAAGTGCCAACTTAGTTAATCACTTCATTGCAGAGTAATACAGCATGTCTGAAGTTATCTTCCTTCCTTTGAAAACCTTTCCAAGCAGAAAGGCAGCAGCCTCTCAATTTTCAGACAGTGATTTTTTTTTTAAATGCAAGTTATTTGTGATTTGGATGATTCTTCATTTGCAGTGAAGAGCTCCTAAATGTTAGTCAAACTGAAAAAAGAAAAAAAAATATTCAACTAAAAACTTGAAGAGGATTTATTAAGTATGAGAGGGTGTCCAGAGTGGGCAGGATGGTGATGCCTGGAAGTGAGAGACAGAAAGACATTGAAGTTTAAAGAGGCAGCGTGAATGCCAGTGGATATATTGTTGGAGCTGAAATTGCACTGGTAGCTGCTCTGTTGATAATGGAGGAACAAAGGATCAAGTTTCTACCCTTTTCTGACAATAGGAAGTCACTGAAAGGGAGACTGAGAGATGGTCATGTTGTCATATTGCCAGGAGCAAGATAGCAGTTTCTCTCGGAGTATTTTAATCCCCAGTGGTTTGGAGAGAGAGGGATTTAATTACAGAGATCTGAGATAAAGCTCTTAATGCAAATATCCCCATGAAGATGGTGCCAAATCAGGATTTTGCCATCTGCACCTGTCTTCAGAATTAGGAAGTACAGGAAGCAATGGTAGAAATGCAAGACCTGAAGGATGATTGCAGCAAAGTAGGTCTTGCATTGTCTCATGTGCCATGAGGAGTCCCACTGATGAGAAAGATTGTGTGGATGAGGCAAAGTCTGAAAATTAATAGCTTCTTTTTCAGGCTTAAGTGTGGTCTTAATGGAGTTAGAGTTGTGGTCTGGAGTTAGAGATGTGGGTCACAGAGTGAGAGAGTTTTGCATATATTGCTGTGATGTGAGAACAAAATTAGAGGCAATAGATGGAGAAGAAAGCAGTGTCTTGTGAAACACTGTGATGGAAATAACAGATCAAGATGTAAAGTGTCAAGCAGATGTGTAAAAGGGGTCTCTGAAAACAGACTTCAAAAGAATAGGTTAGGAGAGATACTTCACCAAACCAATGAGAAACAGGATTAATCAATAGTTTGGGAAACTTCAATGAGATCCAAGAATAAGCTTGAGAGATGCTCTGTTGATGGAGGCCAGCACTGAACAAGCACCATGGCATGATTTAATTCGTTCAAATACATTAATGAAGATTCTTTAAGTATGATGATCATGTTTTCATCATGTTAGACTACACATTTCTTACTGTATGGTTTGTATGATGTTGGTATCTTCTTAAAATGACGTTTGATGGTGATAAAGAAATTCTCAGCGCAGTAAACTGATATCTGTATCTGTTTAAATAGCAGTCAAATCTGGGGCAGGATTACCAGAACATTGCTGTCCTTTCATGTGTGGAACAAATACTTTAAAGGCCTTATTTCTTAAAACCTAGCTAAGTAAAGATATCTGCAACATAAATAAATATGGGGGCATTTTAGTTAGAAGACTATTAAATATATATTACCATAACTACAGTAGTTGAAGATGACTGAAGTTCTCAAGGTGTTTTGATTCCCCTTTCCCTTATGTTGGTAGTTTGATGTGGACCAAAGCATTTCAAATAAAATGTAGTCAGCTTGTAAGAATGTCAAGATCAGGGTTATGAAATGTTTATGCAGAAATCACAGATTCTTTTGAATGCTTATGAAACTGCAGCTGATAGAATTAGCCATTTACTCAGTCACAGAGTCAAGGATATTTGATTGTTGCTGCAAATCCATAGCTATTGTGAAGTTAAACAGAAAATTTCATCACTTTTCTGGGCAAGAAATTCGAGGAATGTGGGGGAAATACTGAAAAAGAAAAAAAAAAAAAAAAGTGGTCCTCCAGAGTTTTCTTCCAAGATTGTGTAAACCTTGAATGTTCCCTTGCTAAGGAATTTTGAGATGCCTTAAGAGCTAATGAGTTTTTTAATGGAGTCTGTTATGTTGTTGTTCCCCATTGTGTTACTCATGTAAAAAGTAATACTTTCCTTCTTTATGTCCTCAAAGCTTATTCTCACCCTTCAGTGCAATAATTGTGGCGAGGTTGAACTTCTTGGAATCCATTGTATTTTTGTATAATGAAAGTCTTCTATTAGGAATGGCATGTTCTGTTTCACATTCTGTAATTTGACTAAAGAAAGCAATTCAGAAAACACGAAACTTTTTTTTTTCTTTAGTCGTTCCAGTTTTTATTGCCTGCTACCTCAAAACAGAGGCAAGAGGAGCATACACATACTAAGTAACATATGCTTTTAGCCAGAACATAATCAATTGACAAAAATATCAGAATGTGGAAGCGTATTGACTAATTCTTCAATCCAACCCGTGTACACAATCTACAAAACACTGGGAAAATGCCCCAGCTGAAATGGTCTTTGCTGAGATATTTCGGCTGTGTTTGGTGGGCTCTGCTGAGAGATAAGGGGGCCCATTTGCCATGATCTGTCGCCTCTATGGTCTTTCTGCTGCTAATAAGCAGCAGCTTTTGGTTAGTGCCAGCCGCTGAATGAAGGTTTTTCTTGTTACACAACTGGTGATCAGCTCTGAATTGCACAAATAAGTAACTCTTCAATGCAGTTTCCCATCAGAAAGGGCTTTGTTTTTTGTCTCCTTCTGTCTGGTTTGCAAGTAAATTGTTCCTGCTACAGCCCCGTGTGGCTTGCTGCTCTCACCCTTGGTGACAGCAAAGCTTGCTGGCTGGTGATCTCTGCAGGGGTTTATGGCTCAGCTCTGCTGTTCTCTCCCTCTGTTCTCACTTCTCTGTTCCCTCCCCTACTGTGACTAAATAAATTACCTGTATGACATGTTCGGTTTTCTCTGGCAAGAAGCCTGGGAAATCAAATCTGTTCCCGAACCTGGGTCTCCCATTTGGCAAATATAATGCCTCCCTGCTGTTAAATCAGGTCAGCTCTCAGGAAAAACAAAGAACAATTTCATATAACTATAATCAACACAGAGTAAATTTAGATAATGCAGCTGACATATGTTTATTGTAAAGACCATCAAGGAAATAATTTTAAAAGCTCTTAATCTTTGTTGCATCAGGATACATGTTGAACATTCTGTGCACAGAGAAGATCAAACATTTTCTCTCTGTTATCCCATATCAAAGTGAAATATATCTATTTTCTGTCTGGTCTAAGATGATTTTTGATAGAGTGGTTCATTGGTTGTGTGAGAAACAGTTATGTATTTAATTATGAAGACTTTAATTAATATTAATTGATACTTAACTGTTAATTACTATTAATTATTAATAACCTACTTCCTTTGACTTTCTGGCCTCTGAAAGTGTAGATATACTTAGCAGTGTTTGGAGGAGGATAAATAAATGCTTTTAATAGATTGTGTTCTCTTTTCTGCCTTTCCACCGGAGATGAGGCAGTAGGTCAGTGCCAGTGTGGCTGCAGTCTCAGCCTGTGCAGTCTCCTTGCAGGGGGAAGCACCAGCATGGGCAGCCTCCCTTCTCCAGCTGGAAGCTGAATTTCCTGCTCAGCTCTCTGGGTGTCCCAGGGGGCTCTGAATTGCACCCCAGAGGCTCTTTGTTCATGCACTGTTGAGGAATTCGTGCAGACTGCCCAGGGCTGTGGAGCGTCTCCTGTCCCCTCCTGTGTGGCTTTGCTGTGCTGGGGGAGCAGAGCAAGAGTTTCCTGTGGGCATGCTGTGCTAGTGCTTGTTGGGGTTTGAAACAGCTGCTGAACCCCTGAGCTTGCCCCCAGCCCTCTTCAAAGGTGGAGCAGGCAGTTCCTAGGGCTAGTGCTAGCCTAGCCTAAAGGATCTCCTGTGCTGAGCTCCCAGGGCTAGCTTTGCTGCCATTTATTCACTAGAGTTAGTAAAACCCAGCATCTCTGGCTGCCTTACACTCTTACAGTCTTCTTGCCCCTACTGACTGAATACCTGCTGAGGGCCCTGGCTGGAAATATTTTCTAACTGCAGCTGAATATCAGGTTGCCTGATCTGGAGAAGTCCTGCAAGAACACAACATGTGTGGTGCTCTGAGCAGCAAAGCAGACTGCCCAGGCCTCTCCACGGTCTGTGTTTCAAACCCAGCGTGAGAATAATGGTTCATTCCCAAAAACAGATGGGGTCAAATGTATATGCTGTGTTTTTAAATAATACGTGCTTTTCCAGACCTTTTTAAGGAGAGCTACAGTGTTGCTAATAATTGTTTAGTTATTCATGAGTTTTCTTGGTTTTAAAGAATGCCTTCGTTGTTTCTTCAGTGCTCTGAGACACACAGTGAATGTTTTGTATCACTTTAAAAATTCCCTAAAAACTCTGCTGTATGAGCCAAGTCCTTGGAATGGAATTTACTCTTTATTTTCCAAAATCTTCATCCAGTGCATCCAACAAGGATTAAGGGGTTAAAGCAGTGAAGTGAGTTTTAAAAAATGGGAATTCATGCACCAGGACTGACCTGAAGCAAGGGCCATAATCCACATCAGCTGCTGTCTCGGGGACTGACAGTAGTTACGTTATCTATCCTCAACTTTGGCATACCAGGACAGATTGCAGATACTGTCTCCTACTCTGAAGGTGCAGGACCTGACTCTGAAAGGCTTCAGCTGATAGCCTAATATAAATAATTTCAAAGGCAAAACCTTCCTCCTTCCCCTCTTAGCATCGAGGTTGGCCAGAGGAATTGCTGAACCCACTCAAACCCTGCTTTACGTCTTGTCTTCTCCAGCCTGCGACCTGATGACCCTGGGGATCTTGGCCCTGGTGACGTCGACGGGCTGCGCGTCGGCCAACGCGCTGCAGTCGCTGACGGACGCCATGCACATCCCGCACCTGTTCGTGCAGCGCAGCACGGGCGGCTCCCCGCGCACGGCCTGCCAGCTCAACCCCAGCCTCGAGGACGAGGAGTACACGCTGGCCGCGCGCCCGCCCGTGCGCCTCAACGACGTCATGCTCAAGCTGGTCACCGAGCTGCGCTGGCAGAAGTTCATCGTCTTCTACGACAGCGATTACGGTAAGGGAAGGACAGCGCTTCAGGCTCCATCATGTTTGTTTCTTCTTAGCTGGGAGGTGGGGAGGGAAATGTAAAGGGAAGGGTGGAATATGGCGTGCTGGGTTTTTCACTGACAGAGGAGGATGTGTTTCGAGTGGATGCAGGTCTTTGTCTTGAAGGAAAGGTTGCTGTGAAGACTAGTTCCCAGAGAAGGAGCAAAGTTGCTTAGCAACACCTACCCAGACAGACAAAGTTTGAATCTTCTCACACTTTTTCAGTAAAATATTAATCAAGGGTTGACATTGATCAGCAGGGGTCACACAGATGTGCAAGGAAGTTCAGCATGGTCTCTCCCTGTTCCAGAAAATGATTTCTATCAAAGCTGAGTACAGTTCTCTTTACAAATAACTTTGCAATACCTATTACTTTTTTTTTTTTAATGTGCTTCCCCACACTATTCTGTATCTGGACTGAATTTCATAGTGATATTCCTGGCATTAAACTCTACTGAAAAGTAGAGTTAGCATTTTCTCTAAATCTCATGCATTTCCTTCAGCAAAATTCTTCCTTTGAGCTGAGACTTGAGGAAAAGGAGTCTCTGCCCTGTTACCTTATGATAGGCATAAAGAATAACAAAACCCTGAATCTCTTATTGTGCCAGGCTCTCAGAGGGAAAGGGAACTGTGTATACTTTTTTTTTATATCCCCCCCATCTCTGCTCTATTGATATGAACACTCTTCCATATGTTTAACTCATGGTATATTCAGCACTCCTGTCTTAGGATACAGGATCTGTAATGGGGAAAATAAATTTTCTATGGTATATTTTAAAAGCCTGCTAACACTTTTGCTTTAAAATGTGATGCATAATCTTTTGACATGGTGATTTACCATGAACAGAATATAAAAAAAACAAACGTAAGGTTAAATCATCATAGGAAAAAACAATCTTATGTATGTCTATGCATATATAGTTTAGATTTTATACATTTTCCACCATTGCAAAATAAATCTTTTTTTGAATTCTCCCTATATACTATCAGATTTTCAGTGCCAAGTCAGAGAGAAATAGCATCTTTGGTTTTGAAATTTGGTTAGTCCTGGTCTAAAAATCCCCAAAATCCAAGAAGCAAACAAAAGAAAAATAACAGTTCTGAGTCTTGGGTGAAATTTCTCTTCTCAGTTGCTAGATAGTTATTTGCTGTTTCTTTAACAGGAACATTGAGGATGATGAGGATGGTTTTAAGTCGGAAATCAACTGAGACTGTAACATCTTTTTAATGACACAGAATTGTTTTAAGCATGAGAAGACTTCCATGATGCTTGTAAAGCTAATCTGTAGACTCAAAAATTTAGTAACCCAGCAAATAAACTGTCCTGTAATTACTGTCCTCTGTAATGCTTGAACAGTGAATGCTTTGAAAGCAGAAGTCACAAGGTGCATGGTAGGTGTTCTTTTGGTGGCCCTGTGGTAGTGATGAGAATGTTGCTCTTTAGCAGAGGATTGGGTTTAACGAGTCAAAATTATTCAAACAGTTATTTCAAGCATGAAGGGGGAAGAAATAAAAATATTAGGATGTCTTAGAAACACCCCAGATGCTTGATGTGCAAACTACTATTTTCCTTATTAGCCTATCTGCTTACTGAACTATGGTATCCCGGATTCCAGTGATGCATCTGTGTTTCTTTGTCTTCTTTTTTTTTCTTTTTTTTTTCTTGCAAAGGCTTAACATTTCAGTAGCAAATCCTGAAACCCTTAATTCATATACCTCTAAATTCAGTTATGATCAAATTTCTCTTTTCCATTTGGCACAGGCTAAGTCATTAAGGTTGTGGAAGAGTGCCACAGGTGTTCTTCTCCTTCCTGTGGGGAGTGTGGTGTGCATTGCAGCTGCTCTTTCCTCTCTTTCTCCTCATGAATAAGACATCTATCTTATGTTAACTCCTGTAGAATAATTTTATTTGTAAGAATTTGGTGGGAGGGGTTTCCATAAAGAAGCCAACTGAAACTTGTCAGATCTGGGTGTGGATTAATGAATAGAGGATAAATAACCAATCCACTTCCTAGGATCTTGCATGCTGACCTCCAAAACAGATGCCTGGCTCCAGGGGCATGGCCCTTTCCTCAGCGCTGAGCTTCCACTGAGCCTTGCTCCTGCTTCTCCAGTAGCACATTCCTGCCGGCCGTGATAAGGGAGGTGACATTTGTGTCTACAGAGAGTTTCCAGCACTGGGCTTTGGTGGTTTTCTATAATAAGTGGTCCATTTCTACCTGGTCTCTGAAAGCTGTACCGTTCCTTTGAGTAGTGTTTTAATTTGTTCGTTTGCTGATCTCCAAAAGCCCTTGGTTTCCTCCTTGTGGAAACTGTCAGATTTTCTGAAGACTAAATAGCATTGCACAATTTAAAGAACTCCCCACGCTGTATTATGTTGAAGCTGAAAATTATTTATTAAAGTTATTACTTGTCCCTTCTTTGACATACATTTTGAATTACAATTTCTGTGGAAAAGTAATGGACTTGGCTGTGAGAAACACAGAGTAGTTTCTGAACAGCCTAACAAGCCCCTAGTATTCTTGTGGTTACAATGAAATATGCCTTTTTTCACACTGAAATGACAGATAACAATGTGTGCACAACTTCAGTGAAGGGGTGTAGTCCTTTACAGTAAAATGCCTAAAAGTCTATAACAAGAAATTGAGAGATTCCTACTGAGCTGTATCAACGGGGAAAGATTGGTTGATAATTGTCTATTCAGTTCCCCTTTATTTATACAAGAAAAGGTAGACGTTAATGCAGATATTGCATCTTCATGATTTAGCCCTTGTTTTTGCACTTCTCTCATTTATGGCTTGTGTGTGGTTTCAGAAGATGCACAGAATCCTGCTCCCCATTGATCACACTGGGAGGCTGCTGTTGCTGAGACTGACATTCACTTTTTTGGTGAAAAAACCAGCTACCCCTAAGTTTGCCATTGGCTGTCAGATGGTGCTCTGTGGAACCAGGTCTACCTGGCTGTAAAAGAACTTGCAACCCAATTCTGGTCTGTTGTGTCATCCTGAGGAGGTTCAGCTGCGCTGATATGTTATGAATTACTTTTTCCTCTACAGCAGAATCTTTTGTGCCTCCACATATATTGCAACAATGTGCACAGGCCTTCTGGGAAGTTTAATATTTTATTTTGCTGACCTTCTGGATGTAGAAGCATAAGTAATCAAAGTTTCTGACAGAAAAATTGGTAGTGAGGCAAGTTTCATAAAGAGTCTTACCAAGCTGTAAAATGACTATCAGTTAAAAGCAGTGGGTGCCACCCACCAGAAGATGAGGTTGGAAAATAAACAGTTGAAACTGTGCTTCTAGGATGAGCAAATAAACAGCTATGTGGTTAAGGATGGATTTGAGAAGAGTTTTGGAGGCTGGATGTGAAAATGAAAACAATGAGGCATATTAAATCATATTTCTAAAGAGAAATGTGAGTAATAGCTATGTTTTCACTAGATTAACCTTAGTACTGAATGACAATTTTTATCTCTATAGTTAGATTAGGTCTCTGCTTTCCTTCATACATGTCTACATATCTATATTATGTATAAAATGTAAGATAAAATTGGGGTATTTTGAGTCCACTTTGTCAATGAAAATGGTATTAGATCTGTGAAAAGTAGCTGTATTAGTTTATTCTTAAGTTTTGATGTCCATAAGTGAGTGTTGTTTGCTGAAGAAAAGTGTTGTATAAAAGTTTTACAAAAACTTTTGAAGAATATTTGACCTCCCAAACAAAACTATGAAACTTGGTTCCTACAGGAGAAAAACCCCAAGGCCACAGTTTATTGATTTCTAATTTGTAAAAGATTAGAGGTCTGTTCTTTTCCATTGATGCATTAACTTTGAATGCTACTTGATCAATCTTGCTATGTGGAAGGAACTTAATTTTCGAGTGACTGGTTTTGTGGGAAGTTGTGTTTCCCACAGCAATTATGTGGCAGTTTCATTTTTGAGTCCTGCCTGTCAAGGGCCTCAGCCATGATTGTAAATTACAGGAATTGTGCTATTAATAATTTTACAACAAGATATTGGTCATGGAATGGTCTGTTGTTTGTCAAGATCCCTTTGTGCAGGCTGCTACCCTTGCATTTATTTAATTTGCAGAGGAATATTTTAATGAAAAGTGAGAAATGCATGCATTTGCACAGTCCATGTGGAACACTGCAAATCCCTTGTGATGTGAAATATTGACTGTCACAACAAAAAACAAGCAATACAGAGCATTTGCATATGAGTGACTTTCACCTTACCTGCTTTAAGTTTTCTTTTGTCCTTGTCTGTTTATAACATAAACATCTTCTGCTTTCTGTGTCGTGATTTCAGCTGCCAGACAACCACTTCTGCATCACTGGGGCTGCCATATTTCCAGTGAGCACGCCTTCCTTAATATAAATACAGGCAACATGACACCTGAGGTGTTGAGGCACCTGCACGTGTATTGATTGGTGCCTGTTCAGCAAATCTGACCCTACCAGGAAGTATCTGAATTTTCCTGTGTGAGCTGTGCATGCATGTGAGTTTGCATGTGTTATTACAAATACCTGTTTTTTTTGGTTTTTTTTCCAACTGGTTGGTGCATCCCAGCTGGAACTGTTGTGGAAAAGTTTGAATTGAGATTGCTGTTTAATAGTAAGATATATGGATTTTAAGCAGCCAGCTGCAGAGAAATGTAACTTTATGCGCATCAGTCTGCAACAGCGATCGCTTAGGCAGGGAATCCTCAGCCACCTCTGCATTGATGCTGCTGTATGAGGTAATAAAGGGGAGGGATGGACTGGTGCTAAGCACCTTTTCACCCAACAAGGAACAGACTTGTCTGAGTATTTATTCTACTCTCTGCAGTACCTAGTTACTCAGGCATAACTGTACACTGGATGTCTAGTTTCCAGAGTAATATAAAATCTACCGGGAAAAATGAAGACCTTCCTGTAAAAAGTTTGTGTCTTTTAACCTGTGATCATCATTGCAGCTGCAGAG